GAGCTCACGATGAGATTTAGCAGATGAACCGTTCCGATTAATCTGGGAACGCACAATTAGAGTGGCCACATATTTCCTAGCACAAATAGAACGGGATTTAAGAGATTAGTTACACCGCCCCCTCTCCCTCCCTCCATCCCCTGTCACCCACACCGAGGCCACCAGGGGGGGGGACAGTGGAGGCATTCGCACTGAAACGAAATTCTTTTCGGTCAGTTGATCACTGTCGAGGATGGTATAAGACCACGCATAGATTTCGTTAATGCACACAAAGCAAGCATGTGAATTTTATTTATCGGTCTCTTTATCAACTAAAAACGCTATACATGTAACATTTTTTTTAGAATTATCTCACAGAGCTTTACCTTATTTTCTACCACTCCATTTTTTCTCTGTCTCTCTCTCTCTCTCTCGATCAGAAACTGGACATTCTTTCCACTGATAATAAGGAAACAGAAGGATTGACATCACTTATAGGAGTTCAGCTTGACAATCTGACACGAAATGGGTTTCCTAATGCAATTCCTTGTAAGTTGCAAAGTTTTGTTGTTCCTTTTTGACTCATCATGAGGGGGGGGGGACGAAGTAAAGAAGTCCAAAGCTATGTTCCCATACATCTCAAGACTATCTGGTTCTGGTTTTCGGGTACATTACGTGGTGGAATGTACTTCATCTTATTGGATTATACTTTCGCAATAATGTTCACGAGGCAAACGGTTGCACTCACCCATCTACCTTCGTGCGACATTATACAATGAATGTCAGCACGCATGTACCAGCTCGATCAGTAATCAACAGGTCTCAGAAAGAACTACACTTTGTTTCGCGCTGTTTGCCTTGGGCAAACTTGAATCGACCACAAAAGTGTTTGGTTTGACTAGTGGTTCCATTGTGAGATCAACTGTGTTTCTGTTCTTCATCAATCAATCAATCAACCAATCAGGTACTTTGGGTAGTTCATACATTACTAATTCGAACTGATCACCCGCATGGACCAGTAAGATGGTACCAGTAAAAAATGAGCTTGTACTCTAAACATTGTTTTCTATGTCAAGCATAAACCTCGCTACTTAATATCTGTTACTTGTATCGGCTGTAAATTTCTGTCATTCGATAACTGCTTACATTGACGAAAATGACTCCCACACTTAAAGATTGCAGTCAAAATCATATTGAACTGTGGTCTCAATTCAATTATGTGATGATGGGTCCATCAGACGGTCAGTACATAGAAAGGCAACTTGAAATGGGCAATGAATTCATTTCTGTAGCTTTGTACCACTCAGTATGAAGGAGAATCTCATACTCTGTTTGGCCAACAGAACTAGAAGAATTTGCACGAAGGACATATTGGTTGAAAAACTCCAAAAATGCGGAATATCTTTATCCAGCATGAATACCTGAAGCGCTTGGCGGAATCTGAGATGCAGCGACAAGAGGCGTTTCCTGAGAGGGCAATAGGTGAGAAGAAGTCTGTATAAATTTCTTTACCGTTTAAAGGCGACACCTTGACAGACAAATGCTATCAACAAAACGTTCTACGCGGCTAAGCTTCAAACTAAATTCACATCTAGCCTGCTGGCGTATCTACGGTTGAAGCATAGAATGTGCGGTTCTGCTATCTCTTTCAGTATTTACTCTTTCACTTGCTCCTGTGGAGCAAAGTATGTTGGCCGCACGACCAGGCGTCTGTCCGAACGCATCCGTGAGTATCACCCTTTTTAGTTGCGAAGTGAAGCAATTAATACAATCACAAGTGCATTCGTATCGCACCTTGTCAAGTTAAATCACATTGTAAACGTGACCGAAGCGTTCCGACCCCTGTATAGAGTTAAACCGGGACGATGTATAGACACGTGTGATTCCGTATACTAGCCACGGCGGAGGTAGTTTCATTCGTCTCCATAACCCCCTCTGTGTGTTCCGAAACACTTTGTGGAAGCATTCAAGCTCCCATGGCCGGATTGCCGACAAGTAATCTGTCACGAAATGTCAGAACAAATGATAACTGGGGACCAATTATGAAAAACAAACTTGAATTTTTTTGCCCGGTAAATCCTCCCCATATTTATTGTGTTGTAATGGCATGATTAAGGCACACTCTGAAAGCGAGCTTGTTTGCCAATTTGTGTTCTCATTTTGAGCTCCGTGAGATTCTGTTTAAACGTTATCCGTCTTTCTCCACTACGTATTACGTATCAAGACTGAGTGACGGTGCTACTTAGCAATCAGTAGTAACGTGTTCCGTACCAAAGTGTAAATATCCTATGGGATTTTATAAGCCAAGTCTTTGTAAATTTTCCCATGGTAAAATTTGAATTTGAATTTGTGTAGTATACAGAGTAGACCGAAATTGTAAATCGTAAATCTTAATCTCAGACGAAAAAAGGAATTGCGCTGATAATCTGATTCCGGAATCGCTCGGCACTGAGTTGCAAGAAGAAGAAGCAAGGCCCACATGAATGGCAGTTCGTTTATCGAAATAAATCAGCGGGATTAAATAATATGGAAATAGAATTATCATTGCTCGAACGGACGTCAGCCAATCGTCGTCCTTGTTCACTTGACTTCTGTTTGAACAACGTGGTCTTTGACTGGTCGATCCTACTGGCCTGTGATTCGATGTCCAGAAGCTGTAACGCGTGGCCAATTGGCTGACGCTTTCTCGGGAGATTGGATCAACACTAATAATTCCTCTATTCGGTGAGCAATCGCTAGCCCAAACACATGAAACGGTGTTCCAACGATTTGCGTCTGTCGGTTTCAGATCAATTGAACTGTCTCGTGTACAGATCAGGCAATCTTAACGGTTTACCTCATTGAAGCCCACTTAATCGAGAGCGTGACTAGCAAAACAACTGACCGAGATGCTTTATTTTTACACACCAAAAGAGTACGGTAAGAAACGGTGGTCGGTTATTGGATAGAACGAGCTGGCGCGGCAGTTGACCAATGAGATGCGCTCAATGAATCTAAGGCCAATCACAATGTCCCATAGTTTCCCAGATTCCATTTTATGTGTCAGTTTCTCAAGGGTATCTTAAAATGGAATAGTAGAGAGTATAATCGGACACGTAGTTGGGAGAAACCGAGAAAAAATTGTGAGAACGAATGTCGACTAATATCATGAAAGATAGTTCGCTATCAATAATCATTTTTGCGTGAAATGAAACGGGATTTTCTTGGCCTGATCTGCACAGCTTTATGTGAGCTCCACAATCACTTTAAGTGGACTGGGAAGAAACATACGGAGGTATCAAGTTCAACATGGCAGTTGGGGCAAAAATCACATTTCGAATAACTAGTGGTTTGCACAATACGCATTTGGGTTGCTATGTCTTTTCAGGCTAAATAGAAGAGTGAACAAAATGCTACATGTGTCTTCCATCTAGTCTTGTGATGTGGATGTTGTTTCGAAATTTGGTGCATAAGGGACAGTGTTGCTTAACCACAAACAATAGCCTTACTTGGAGAGGAAAACACCAGCAAAACAAACGTGTTTAGATCAACGCCAAATGAGAACAGTTGTACAAGGGTACCAGAAGATGGGCAAGTGAGAGATCAGGAATATGCAGTATGGAACAAATGAGTGCACAGTGCGTTTAGGTGGGTAATAAGAAAAACTTGTGTAGTGGTATATAAAACCTCGGAATAACACGCTGCAACTTTGGAAAAGAGTCAGCAATACCCGAGCATAATTCGTAGTCTAAGGCATAAGTTACTCCGAAATATTTTATCAATTAGACATTTGGTATTGCTCTCTTATTAGTAGCTAAAGGTGAACAGTAATTTCCAAATGAAGATGAACGCCTCCCTGAAAAGAATAAGAAGATAGTGCTATTTTGGTGAGATTTGCACGATAAGTATTCCCAAATGGGGAAAATCGATTTGTGCTCCAGGTTCTGGACATTCTGGATGTGTGTGCTTTGAGTGGACACTATCCACCCCCACCCGCTCTCATTTATTGGATCAAGTAACGATAAACTTAAGCACAATATCAGAAGGTCAGCTACCTAAAATTCATGCTATTTTTCAGCAGTCATAAATCAGAATTTTTCGGTCCATACTACATCTACACGGCATTCATTTTAGCTCAAAGACACTATTTCTCAAAAGTCAGCATCATGATATCACGACTAGGTCCTATGGGTGATATGACCAACCTTTATCCCTAGTCTAAAGATAGATCAGCGTGGGAGCGCAACGGCAGTCGGTTAGTGATCATCTTCAGGGGACTACGTAAACATGCATTTATCGATCAACTAGGACCAAACAATAGAATGGGCCAACCAAACCGCGGTCTTAATTGAGTGATTGATTGATTTGATTATTGTCGAATTGGGACATTCGCCTGGTGAATCGGTCGGTAAGCCTAAAGGTCACTGGACGTGATCTTTCGCATCGACTGACGGTTCGAACATTCTGTCGTATTGCTAGAGTGCTCTTTGGGTAGAATTACGTAAAGTGCAATCATTTTTTTCCCGTGAACTGGCAATATTTTTCAACGTATTTGGCATAAATTAATCTGATTTTCTTTCCAGATGATCAGCGTCGCGTAATTCTCGGTTGTCGCGGTCCATCGTCCCAGGTAGATACAGAATGCAAAATAATAATAATAATAATAATAATAATATGAATTACAACAGGTTAATTTTACCATTATGAATACTTTTCTAAGGTGATCTTCGTGGTGTCCTGGATTTGACTGCATTGCTTTTTGTGCATGCATGTCTATGACCTGTTTTATTGACTGATTGACCAATGCTGATTGCTGTTACACACGCACGCAAGCACGCACTCCACCAAAAAACCAGTCGACTACAGCCAATCGGGTGTTGGATTTGTTTTGCCCAGTGCGATCGATATGATTAAATCTATAGAATTATTTCAGTTTAGCCAAAAATAATCCATTTATTCCTGAGAGAAAACTGATTTGGGGCGAAATCATTTTGAGGAAGGAAGACTAGTTCAAAAGTGCTGTGTTAACTGGGGGTTGCCAGATGCCACTAGCTTCCAAAGGACTCACGTTCGGTGCCGAAATTCAAAGAGTTTGCACTTATTATTCGTCGTATTTAATATACTGGAAGAAATTTTGCTTGAAGCTTATCTGTTGTTCAAATCTATCCGCTGATCGTCCATAATTAATCGGCACTTATTTTACTAACGCTAACTTTGCGGACAGAACAAGTAGGCTATATGAAGATCATAAGGTTCCATGGATATTTAGGGCCAATGAATCCCTGATAGTTGGATAGATTTCTTTGATAGCTGTTGAATACGGTGGTAGATCTCCTCCGCTCACAGAGCACTATGTGTGGTCGTATGCTGCATACCAATTCCCTGGGTTTTTGTAGTAATCGAATTAGGTACGGATTACAGATTACAAATCTCGGTCTCAACTGAAGCACCGAATAGCAATGGTAGACAGAAATCTCCCGTCACCGAGAGGCCGAAGAAGGCCAAAGAAGTAGAAGTTTTTTATTGAGAAATAAATAAATGATAATAAATAACGTAAAATAAAACTTTTATAGGTTATAAGGGTCTCTACCAATGGCCTGCTTGTATTCTTGACGTCTGTCTGGCCTGCACGACTTCTGATTGGTCGACACTATTGGCTTATGGTTTGTTGTTCACAAACTGTAACGCGTCGCTCCGTGGTTCACATTATCTCGTAGATTAGAATCACTACAGTCTTCTACACTCTGACTACCCTCGACCTGACTTAATCCACATGTCGATTGATTTGCCTGTGTGTAGCCGCTGTTGTGTGCTTCGACCTATTTGTGAGACACGATGGACTTTGAATAAATGATAAAAAACCGAAGAGACGGAATTTACCCATCCGACAGACACACCACAGTTTACTGGTTCTGAGATACTACTTGTACCTTTCAACTTGTGTTTTTGGACATCGTCTTTCACGAACCTTCCCCTTTGGCAGGCAGAGTAACCGGTTGGTGCATTTATCACGGTACTGGTTGCTATTATTGTTGCAAATGAAAATGAAGGAAACAGAACCATTACCGGGGTTTCAGTGAATAACTAAAAAAATACGATTACGGTTCCCTTGGGTTCCGTTTAGATGCTTCTCAGTAACAGTTACGGTCGAAATGATTCAATCAGTTATCGGGTGAGGAAGGCAGTGGTTTTTTTTTTTTTGGGGGGGGGGCTGCACATCAACGATTCAGTTTGGCGTTTGTCTCCAACTGGTTTCTAATTGATTGTTCCAGGAAATATATGAAGCAAACTGTTCAGTTTCGTATGATGCACCTGTGGTGATTGTTCACGAATATGGGATGGTACCAGGCACTCCACCTGACACACACACACACACACACACACACACACGCATCACACATCAGAACTGCAGAATCCTAACTTCGTCGTCTTGGTGAGTTTCAGTTTCAGTTTATAAAAACATATAGTACCAAGCAGTTCCTTTCAATCTGGTGAACACGTGACCTGATTAACTGAATGTGAGAAAGCTGAACCGGGGCAACTGAACGGTTGAAAACCCCCAGCTGATTTATTGAAGCTGCTAGTGGTATTGATTCGTTTGCGTTTTCTGATAGAATTAACTAGATCCGTGACTTGTCTATTTCTTACCTGGTTTCATTGAGTCATCAGTGTGAATCCGGTTTCACTTCTTTCGTATATGAGAGTAATTCCAATTTAGCAGATGTGTTTCTAGGACTCGTTGAGAGAAAACTAAGTGATAATATTTCCAAGCCCACCATGTACAAACGCTATTTCGACGAAATTTTTTTCTTACAGACAAAGAACATTTTAAAACACTTTTACAGCATTTTAACTCAGTTCGTCCATACCGTTCTGTATCTCATGAGGTAGAAACCAACAACACTCTAGCGTTTCTAGACATAAAAGTTACGAGGCCACTAAATAGGGTATCAGAGTACTCAGTTTTCCGAAAAGCGACATGGAATGGTAAATACCTACACTTTCCCATCCTCCCGCCATGGGTTACAAACGTGGCCTTGTGAGAACCCTATTTGATTGGGTGAGAAACATTTGTCCTCCAAACACACTAAAGGAAGAAAAAGGGTTTATAGATATTCACAGTAAACCCTTCCCAAAAAATAACCTTCCCAAACGTTAGCAAAGACATATTCTACTTAAAGCTTGCTTTCAAGGGTGACCACATTTACAATGATGTGCGCCATAAGTTGATTTCAGCTCTGGAACGTACATTCCCAGTTGCTCAGCTCACACTCATTGCCTCTACTCGTGGAATTGATCTGGACAAATGTAAACATGGCTGACAAATCTGTTTTGTCTCACCCACTGTATACCAGTACCTCTGCGGTTGTGGTGACGCATACATAGGCAGAATAAACCGCCGGATCTCGCAACGGATGACCGAACATATTCGAAAGTCAGGACTTCCATGCAGGTTTGGACTGATATTTTTTTGATGAACAGCAGACGGGTAAACCCCATAGTCACGAGGACCTGCTGTTCAGTGATTGAAATCGGCAACCCAAGCCCCGGAACTTGGAGTGGCGAACCACATAAGGCCTCGCTGGTTAAGGTGTGGTATTGAACCGGAAGACAGCAGAGCTGCCTACCACCAAAGTCGGGTAGCGGTGGCGGGGCTCGAACCTCGGAACATAGGGTCCAAAGCAGGCCGGTGACAGCGACTAAACCACTGCGGCACCACCACTTATTTGCCAACGAACCTACAAGGCCGGATTGATATTTCGCATTTAACTGACAATTACTTGTGAGTAGTGGTGTGGGATAATTTGTTTTTATTGATTTAAACTGACTAGCTTACAGACTTCACCTTCACGCACAATCCTCAGTTCATCGATTCAACCATACACTCGGAAGCACTAGATTCGAGTTTCGCTCTTATTACAGCTCATCAGTAGTGCATATCCACCGTCCTATACGGGATTTGAAAGTGGTTGATGAAATCCAGCACCCAACCGATAACTGATAATCAGACGATTACGAGAAACCCAAGGTCATCTGTTGTAAAACATCTCGTGACAACAAGACACACGGTTGACCCCAGTTCATCTTACAAACCACTTTTACCTAATCGCAATGCTAAACTCTTGGCAATTAGTGAGGCGCTGCTTATTCGATTACATCAACCGACCTTATAAACACAAAAGCTTTTGATACAATCAATCCGCTTACCGTGAGGTTGACCTTCTACTTCTATATTTGGTGATCTTTGTATGCATGTACACGTTCATTCACCATAACTGAGTAACCCCATGTGCTATATATATAGTATGCTTGTTTGTTTTAAGTGCACAATTGAGAAGAGTAAACTAAATGTTAACATCTCGCGACATTTGTCTTCTTTCTATATTGATAATTCCAAATGTTACGGAACATTTGAAAATCTCTGCCTATTCCGATTGCCGGTTTACCATCTCCCCCCCCCCGATGTGTACTTGACCCCTGTGAACGTGTGTGTGTTTATTCGAAGGACCCCAAACCGGAAGATTATATCAACGCCTCGTTCATTTACCACATCCCTCCGGTCAACACGTGGCGTGCGGAATTGGATTTTGACAAAATTGATTATATCGCCACTCAGGGTCCCATGAAATCGACTTGTGGAGACTTTTGGCGCATGATTGTTGAACAGAAAGCCACTGGAATAGTGATGCTAACCAAGTGAGTTCAAGCATTCGCTGCATACTGTGGTAGTCTTATTACTGATTGTACCGTTTCAACGCACACGTCATTGCTCATTGATTGGTTGGCTTGTACCGACTGTATCAGTGTTTTGCTTCAATCAATCGGAATTCTGTATTGAACTGTTCTTGCTAACCACTACGACTGCGGATAATGCCTATGCTTCTGACGCTCCGTGCGATCCAGTTGAGCGAAGCTGAGAAAAAGCTAACGCATTCCATGTGATCAGCCGGTCAATTTCGATCGTTTATCACGAAAAGGGAAAATACTACAACTCGGAAAATTACTTGCCAATAAAAGGTCAAGAATTGGTACTCGTCAAGTGCCCCACACCCTCGCCAAAAAACAAAATTTACAGCTTACGGAAAGTTATGAGAACATTTCTAAAAGATCAAACCTGTTACGAATGTGGGAACAAGTGCAAAATCTCGTAGAAGGTCTGTGGAAGACCTGTGTGTGCACTCAGTTATTAGCCACACCAAGTTTTGAAACGTCTGAGAAGAGACCTATACACGTAAATGGGGTACACAAATAAACGAGATATTGGCTTGACCTTTTCGGTCACTGCTTTGTCATATTAGCAGTAGTTTTCTTTGTTCAAACTGCACGGATTAATCTTGATACTGGATTCCCGAGTGGTCGTCTTCCGATGACCGTCCATCCTCCCAGTTGAGATTCGATCAGTATAAAGCTATTCATTTATTGTACAAAAATCATGTTTCCAGGTGAGATAAATGCATATACAAACCGATTGATGAACTGAATACTTGTCAACCTTGGTGATTGGTTGTCGGTCTTAACCAATCACCTCGGTTTGTTTATTCCTATTCTGATTGGTAAGAAAGGAGGATTTTTTGTGAGTCAGGTGGCTCACTGACAATCCTGCTCCTCACTGGTGAGATAACGGGGAACGAATTCACGCAATCAGTCTGGGAAGATTTTGAGGAATTGACTTACTCACCCATTAGCGAGTACTTTGATATATTTAGAAAACGCGTATCCACCCAAATAAGCACCTTCATGGAACAAACACTTCTCAGGTAGAATGAACTTTCATGCTGCATTGCATTAACCATTTTTTTTTAATTTTCAGCTGTAATTTTCAAATTTCTACAAATTTCACCGTGACACTCAAGATCACGGTGACACAATAGAACAAAAAACATTACAAGACGAGGAAAAATGCTCTTCAGTCATAGCTTTCGATATACAGATATGATAGTTCAAACGGAAATGGTTAGAAGGTGAATGTTTGGATTAGCCTATTCGGATTTTGGACAGCAAAATATTCCCATTGTTCTGTTAAAGAAGTCTAAAAGTGGTAAAGACAGATCTGTTTTTTTGGTTCTTCTCATCAGGCCAATACAGTACACACAGTGGAACATGTATAGACACAACACACAGCGTGATAATCCGTCGTGTAAGTAATCATACAGTTATTGTGATGATTGATGTTGAGGGCTGTGTCCGAATGAACCAGTCAAGGATGAGTCGGTTTCTCACAGGCACCAGGCACTGTTGATGATCTTGGGTGTGGGCTTCACTGTATGGGAGATCGTTAATACCTCACTAGTTGAATACATTTAGAAACTAAAATGTAAACCAAAATTGAGAGTCATTCCGCACCACTTCGATCAATAAGCGTAAAGTAGGACAAAAATGCAGTAACGTACTCTGGGTTTCTTGGACTGGGTGAGAATACACACACACAAATATATATATATATATATATATCCATATATATGTTTTCTCAACCAGTGAAAGAAAAAAATAAAAGGTTACCGGATTTTCTCCCTACATCAGAGAGAACTCCGCTCCAATTCTATTGATCCACGTTGTACACTTGCGCCGAAGCGGAAGCCATTATATGTGGTAAACTATTGTTTGAATACAGCTAAATGACTACCGGCTAATAAAAACTCAGATAAGGCAATTTCGCAAAGGATCGTCCATAGCCGAACCCACAGACCAGAAAAATCTCCAAGCACAAAACTGAGTTGCCGGGTGTCAGTGGCCGTGTCAGTACAAATATCAGGACCGGGAGATAAACTCCATGCAGGAATCACCAATCGACATGGGCCACTTGTTATAGTCATGCTGATGGGACACGCTGTCTCTTGATCGCAACCAGGCAACGCTAAAACAAAGGGTTCCAAGTGTATTGTCGTTTGCCTATGACCACCGTAATGCGCAGGGAGATGGAAATATTTCTGATTAACTGTGTTTAGAGCGAAAGCGCCAGTAACCTTCACTGATGAGCTCAAATTTACCACTCTGGTGTGATACAAAACTGGTGGTTCAAACGATTTTGTAACCAAAAATGATCTGGATCTCATCCTGTTTCCCAACAAGACGCCTCCGAGTCCCATGATCTGGAGTAGAAGACAGTTAATCAAAGTAGAAAAGTCTTTCTAAAAAGCTAATTTTTTCCTTGGTAATGGTATGCACTCAAGTGTAATAATGTCCTCTTATTTTGGGAGGTCGTCCCAATTTATCAAGTGCTGTGTTTCAGCTCTAATAATAGAGTGAAACTTGAGTATACTAATATACTCAAGTGCATCCTACGCGTGAGGTTGGTTGGCTGATATGCGGACTGTGCGTGAAGACGGAAGATGGAAAAGGAATGGACAATAAAGTCCGTTTATAGATTGTTACTACTCATGAGTAGCTTTTAGTTGAACTTGACAGATTTCTGATCTCCTACACCTCTGCATATCTGACTGCTTTTTTGACAAGGTGTACCATTTTAACCATCACACCAAAGTCATTCCCATCCGTCTTTTGACCATACCTAACCCCACCATCAACTGCAAATCTCTCCAAATCCGGCTGAACACACTCCGTCACTCTCTCTCTCTCTCGACGGATGTGATGTTTCACACTAATCTCCTCGTTTTGATCAAAGTCTCCGGGATGGCAAACAAGTTTTATGCCATCAGTACTGGCCGGAAGAACTAAACCGGACGGAGGAATATACATCCGGCCCGGTGCAAATCAAAGTGAAATTGGAGAAGGAAATCAAACATCCGGAGGTGACGGAACGAGCATTTCAAGTTACGAGTGTGAGTGAAACGGTTTTTTTGTGCTTTTTTTGTATTCATTTACAATCAGATATACACAATTGGTGTGACACCAATTTCATCTATGGTTGTTCGGTCTATGACAAGTGAAATTGTAATTCAAAAATGTAATCGATTTTTTTTAGTTGACCCAAAGCTTTCAGAACAGAATAGTTTCATCAAAATCGATCTCTCACAATGTTTTCCCCAGGAGGGTCTGGGGGTTGGCCGGGGGGGGGGATGTGCAAAGTGCTCGACTCTGATAAATGCCACTGACATTACTGCCGAAAAACCAATTCTGGTGTTTTGTTTGATAAGTATTTAGATCACGAATAACCTCTTTCCCCTCATCCGGGAAATGAAATCAACAGCCTATTTATGAGCTACGAGTTCATAGCTCATTAGTGTGCACTGTTTACACGGAAATACTGCAAACGATTTTCGGCTATTCGTTCAATTGGCTGAAAACCTTATTTCTGTCTTGTCTGCGAATCGTCCAACATAGGAGTTTACCGTAATTTCCAACATACATGAGGTCTATCCCATATCACGTACTCCCCACATACGACTACTGTATTCCTTCGTTAAAATGAACGTAATTGATGGATCAATATTCCAATTCGGTCGAATCCTTGAGGGTCCACGAGGTTTTTAATCAGTCAAATGTACAGCATAGAATAGCCAAAACGTTTCCTATTGTAAGTAGAATCCGGTAAGGATATTTCATGCAGTATGATGTATGGAATCGGTTTCCCGTGTTTTACTAGCTATCGATTAAATGAGAATTTCATATTTGAACTATCGGACAACTGCTATCCTCAATTTGTAAAATGAATTTCCACGAATGTATCACACAAACTGGTCTGCTTAATTTTATATCATAGAAATAAAAAAAATCCTGCACATGTGGATTTTTCTTTTCTTCTCTTCCGAACAGACAGACACATTGGAACGGTTAATCATAATAAATTGATGCATATGGACAGTTGAGGAGATCTTAAATGAGAAACAAATGTGTAACTATCGTACGCCAATTGAATTGACTGTGTCAATATAGTCTATACGGACCAGACTGGATGATACAGTCCGGTTGCTATTGCATTGCTGATGCGCAATGTCGTAGGTTGTGACCAACTGACTGTCAGGCGTTGGTTCAGTCATAAACTTCCGTCATTCGTTGTGGCAGTGTAATGCGAACGTACTCCGGGCTCTGTGAGCGCAGTGGAGAAGATACAGATGGACAGCAAGATGTCCCTACCGACTGGCGTTTGCTCAGATAGAGACAATGAGAGACTTAGTAAACCACGGCGAGGGAACAGAGGCACGGATAGCGAGGCGCTCAACGAACGGGGGTGTGCAAGGAACCACTGGCAGATGGTTCCTACATGAGTCGGGGTTAAGTATAAGGTTTATCAAATCCGTAAATAGATGTGATAATGCCAAGTTGAACAGCTGGAGATGTGCACTCAATACATATGCCAGGGTCGGGCCTATTGGACTGTCCATAGCCAGGCCAACAATCTATTTCGGTGTGGTTTCTCCAAACACCTAATGTTTGTCTTCAGTGCTCTCGTTGGTCAGATGATATCGTCACCAAACCTATCACCCCCGGAGGACCCGTGTTCGAATTCCACCACTTGTGCGATGTATGGCTCAGTCCTTTGATTGGTTGCTTCTCTCTTTCCGACGGTTGTATCATTATACAAGGAAGTAAAATTTGAAAAAAAAAATGAAAAAGATATTAGTTCTTTCAATGAAGGTGAAAAGAACGAAAAAATCGCACGATGAAAAACTGTTTTATGATGGACCATATTTATTGAAGCTATGCCTTCTTTGAAAAGATTTTGCTATACTTATTTTGAGATTTTGAGATTTTCAAGGAATCTTTCAAACAACGAGGTGTTCCCGATTTACGAATGGGAGGAGTTAGATCGTTCGCTAAACATGGAACGACTTTGTGATATGGCAAATTTCGCATACGCAAACGTGGTCTGAGATGATTTTCGGGGTTGTGAGCTTTAGACGAAGGTCTCATTTGTGCTTTTTCCATTCCGATTGGGTTCAAAATTAGTTTCCATTGGTTATAGATATGAAGCCATGTAGCAACGAAAT